ATTGAACTATAATTTTGTATGATATTAATTAATTATTTGAATTTTCAATGAATGATATATTCTTTTTTTTTTGAAAATGAATGATAAATTCATCTAATGGTAAAAAGACTTAAAGATAAGAGAAAAAAATAAATTGATTTCATAAATTATCATTTTAAAAATAAAATATTATTCCATTTTTTTCCATCGGGTGTTAAGAAGGATTTACAATATTATTCCATTTTTTTAGAAGACATCTATTTGGTTTCTGAAAAATTAAAAAAAAAAAAATAGTGGTGATACTACTATTAGGTCAAATTTCATGGTAATGAAACTTCATTTGGAGCATACAAATAGTACCACGTGTTGGCAGTTGCAGTTGATGGCTGTGCTTCCCCCCACAAGGGAGCATGAATAATTTGCCTCGTAGTCCAAAGCAATACTGATTTGTCACCTGCCTTGCTCTTTTCAATTCTTTTTTCTTCAAAATAATAAAATTATTATTTAGTCTTTAAAATATAATGTAGTTGACAAATCAGTCCTTCTAATTTGAAAAATAAATTAAAAAAAATCTTCAATCTTTTAACTAGTTAACTAATAATTGTTTGTCAACCAAAATAATAAACGCCGTAAAGTGATTCTTTTCGTCTAAAATATTTCCTCAATAAGAATATAAAAGCATAAATCTAATTTATTTTTTTGTTTTTCATCGCTGTCATTTGTAAAGATATACGGTAGAGATTTAACTTTTGGAATAAAATTTAATTTTTTTTTTTTGAATTTGAATGCAACATAGAACTTACTAAAAATTAATTTTATATAATGATCACTATCAACTTTACACCAAATAAATAAAAAAACTTAATTTTTGATAAAAAGAATAAAATAATAATTTTTTATATTCTAACTTATAAAAATTATTTAAAAGTCCAAAATTGTAGGAAAGAAAAAGAATTACTTTAAGATACAAAAAAAAAAGGTACAGAAAAAGTTACAGAGTGTGCATCTTTTTGATTTAAAAAAATCTAGAATAATTAGAAAAATATTTTATTATATTTGATTTAAATCAAATATTTATTCTTTTTGGCAGACAATTGAGCCATTTTATTCGTCAAAATTTGGATAATAATTACATTAAAAATTAATTTTTTAATAAATTATATATCGATATTAAGTTTAACGAGGAAATCGAGCATTCTCTTAATAATAATAATTAATAAAATCAAGAACTTCTCTTAATTAATAATTCTCCAGAATAAGGACTAATTTGTAAATTAGGTTGTGCTTAAGGCACTAATAATAATTTTAAAAACAACTTCGCCATGAAGTAGAGAAGTTACTTTTAAAAAAGATGGATATGTACGGAGGTGGTGACTGGTAAGAGCACTATATATTATTAATTGGTTTAAACAATCTTCCGCCATGAAGTAGAGGAATGTTTACTAATTTAAATAAGATGGATATAGTTACGGATCTCGCTGTTGCGTAGATGTTGAAGCCTGAATTGACTAGACTTAACTTTGAATATCGAACATCTTACCACAGAGATGAGTTCTTCTCAATTTCATCAAGTGAGTCAATACTTCATACTTTTAGGCGACCATATATTTTTGTTTTTTATTATTTAGTACTATGATTTATTTTTTGGTTTATTATATAGTTGGATTTTATAATATTTTAAAATTTTAAATTTCATTATATTAATAAAGATAGAGTATTGAAAGTGGGAATATTTTTTGGAGTGGTATATTTTACGTGAATTGTTGGATACATATATATTTATGGGTAGGTGTAACTATATTATTCTAATTTTACAATTTTGCTTGAAATATTGGTTGGTGGGATGAAATTTCAAAATGTATTAAAACAATTTGTAGCCATATAAAACATATTAGTTTCAAAAATCTTAATAAAATTTTGACCATATGAATTAAAATATTAAGATTTTTTTATTTGATTATTTAATAATGTATTTTTATTAATTTTTAAGGGTTTTTTGTGTGAAATAGTGGGTGGGAAGATTTAATTTTCTTCATCATATTTACTGAACATTAGACTTAACACAATGTTAATTGAGTAGATTTGCGATTGGTTCACATATATGTACTCCTCAGACACTTATCGAGTCGCCATTTATAAATATGTATTTTGAGTCCATTTGAGTGTGGATGATTATTATTAATTATTAGATATAGTGTTAATTTACGTCTCACGAAGTTTATTAGTCTTTTTTAATATTTCTAGCCTGAGAGAGAGTAAATAGTAAGGCTCACGATACACCCTCTAGTATATACGATGTTGAGTGTAGATGTACAACATATATTTTTGTTATAGTAAATTGAGATTATCGGCATTATTTAAATATTATAGTCTAGTTCGTATATTATTAGTTTTGTGTCAGGATAGTTAATATTATACTTTTATTTCATAATAATTAGAATTGTAAATGATTTATACGAGATAGATAATTTTGAATTTAAGAGTTATTTTTTATAAATATTTGCTTAGAGTAGTAGTGGGTTTTCCGAGATATTTCTAATATATCTTCTAGACCTAAGAAACAAGTTCCAAACTAATTTTTTAATTTAAAAAATATACATATATGGTCAGTGTATTAATAATTATAAAAAATTTCAATTAATAAAAATGTTTACAAATTTTTAAGATAGGATGTTAAATTATATATTTTAATTTTTAATTAAGTATCTCTTATTTTTAAATGGTCTAATTAAATTCCTCTAATCCTTGTATCTACCGCCCTGATTTAAAAAAAAGTATTTTATTTCTCCATATTCCACTCAGTTGTTATATTAATAGATATTTCAAAGATATTTAATTATATGTTAAAGTTATAGTGATAATGTGAATAAGTATAAAAAAAATAGATAAAATAGTACAAAATTAATTAATTCTCGACTGTAATTTATAGAAATGAAATGTATAATAAACAGAAGTTAAAAAAATAATTTTGCATCTTTTGTACAACAGTTAGGACCACGTAAAAAAACCAAATATATGAAATTATCCTCCTAGACTATTTAACCAACAGAATATAATACTAATATTAGAAAGAATACGAATATGACACGAGCATAAATTTTAAAAATTTTAAAAATTTAAATGTAGTATATTAAATATTATAATATTATTTTAATTGTTTTATTTAATTATTAAATAATTTATTATTCCCTTTTGATATAATAGATTTAGCCAATATAAAAAGAAAATTTATTAACTATTTTACATTTATTATCATCTCGTAATACCTTAATAAAACTTATTTAAATAAAGATAAATTCAGCAAATACAATTACATGTTTAATGTTATATAGTCCAACCTTTTCCCTATTTCCAATGGTGATAATTAAATAATAGTTATTTTTTTCCCTGTAATTCTTACTGGAGGTAGTATGATTTAACTAAAGAAAAAATTTAAGTACAATAGTAAATATACTAATATCATAATTCATTTGATTTACATATAAACTTATCAATAACAATTATAAATAATATACTTTCTATACAATTTTAAAAGATGTTATATAATTTTGGAATATAAATTATAAAGAATAATTAGTGTTTAAAAATAGAAAATTAACCATATATTAGGGGTTAAAAAATATTAATAATAAATTTTGAGGAATAAATTTTTTTTGTTTTTACGGTGGGTTTTAAAAAAGTAAATTCTTCGAAAAGTACGCAAAAAATTAAAACAAAAGCGTATTTTTTAAATTTTTGTTTTATTATTTCGATAATTGTTATATAAATATAATTATCTTTTCGAGTGTTATCAGTTCTCAAAATATATCCAATTTACACAAAATAAGATATTACGAATACCCCTGAACTTTTACATCGACAGGACGATTATATTTTTTAGAGAGGAGAGAAAACAAAATTTATTTTAAAATTGGTAGGTTTTTCTATTAATCAAACCTTACTTTTATTACTATTTTACACTTCGCTCAAAAAAATATTTTTTAGGGCTTGTCCTCTTCTTCTTCGATCTTCTTTTTATATAAATAACTAAATTATCACAACCATAATTGACTATTTTAGCTACCTTTAGTTCTATTTTTTTGTTTATTAAACAAAACAATAATTAAAATTTGATTTAGTCGGTTATTTATCTTCTCAGCTCACATATAAATATATTCTTCTTGTGTGCACAGCCTTGGATATATGCTGCGATTTGGTCATACTCATTCTCATGTTATTTACTCATTTATCTTCCCAATTTAAAATTTTTTTTGTGGATAATTTTATAATTTTGTTCTTTTTTAACTATGTCTCTCAATTATATATTTTACAATCACACATTTTATCTTTCTTTATCATTAGATATTACAATTTTTTTTAAATGTCCTTAGTTCTTCTCTATTTATGAAATAATATTTAATTGTAATATAAAATATTTTAAATAGCCAATTAAAAGTTTTAATTTACATATATATTAAAAACATATATTTAGCATATATTTGTATATTCAATTATAATTAAAAGATTTTTAATTAGGAGAGAGATAAAGAAAATTAAGTAATATAATAATTTGATATAATAATTTTAATTTTAAAAGATTTTAATTAGGAAAATAAAAGAATAAAGTTAAAAAATAGAAAAAATTATATAATATTTGATTGTAATTTAAAAGAATTTAAAAGTCCAATTAAAGATTTTAATTTTTTTTTATTTATTGACAAGTTTAACGGATAAAATAATACTATATTCTACACGACAGGCGTAATTTGAGAAACAAAATTTTTCATAATTAAACTTAAATAAACTCCAAAATTTAGCTTTCTGTCTTTACAATACCACCTTATGACAATTATAAGTTATTTGTTTACACAAATTATGTAGCCATTTTGAGCAACAAAATATCTTTGGTAAACAGCGAAATGGATTCATTTCATGATTACCATTTACCAATAAATTGGAAATTTAAGATTGCTTATTATGTCATTAATATTAAACCATCTTTTCATGTATCTTTAAATGTCTAGTCTTCATTGACAACTTAGTTCATAAGCTACTACTGCTTCCTCACTCTCACTTTCCCTTCATCTTCCTCTTCCTCTTCCTTCTTCGCACGTAACTTTAGAGGTTTGAGAGACCGTACAGGTTCTTATTTAAAGAACCAAGTTCCTTTCGTCTTTTCTCATTCATTCTCTTTTAAACAGTTTTCATTTGATAAAAGTAAAAGAACTATCAGCCTAGAATTTGCAATCAATGGGTTCCAGTTCCATTAATGATGCTGCGATTGCTAAGGAGGTAATCAATTCTTGTTTATTTCTAATCAAATTCTGTTTCCAATCTGATAAAAAATATCTGATTACAGGAAATTGCTGCGGTTGAGAAAAAGCCTACGGTTGTCTTTGTTTTAGGCAAGTATTTTATCCTTTTTAATTCAAGAATAATACAATTTATTATAAAATGATCATATTTTAGTTTTCTGATCACAATCGCAATTTTTGATCTCTGACGAAGCAGGAGGCCCTGGAGCAGGCAAGAGCACGCAATGTGCAAATATTTCTAAATGTATTGGTTTTACTCATTTAAGCAGTGGAGAAGTGCTTCGCAAAGCTAGTGAATGGGATCCTGATAATGGGTATGATTTTGTTTTTGCAATTTTTTTCTTAAATTTCTGTGTTAGTAATGATCTTTTAAAATGAGTAATCTTTATTTTTATTGGCAGAGAAATGATCAAGAGCATGCTAAAGGATGGACAATCTGTTCCTCCGGACATTACCTTGAGAGTATTGCAGAAAGCCATGAAACAAAGTGGCAATGACAAGTTTTTGCTTGATGGGTTTCCTCGTGATGAGGAAATCCGTGCTGCTTTTGAAGATGCTGTATGTATTAATACTATAATTATTTTCTTGCTTTCAATTATGTTGTTTTTGCTTTAACTTCCGTCTTATATTCTTTGCTGGTAGATTAACATCGAACCAGAACTGGTTATTTTCTTTGATTGTTCTGCTGAAGAAAGGGAGAGAAGGATTTTGAGCAGGAACCAGGTTTGGTGAAATTTTGATTTAATTTATATATATTAATGTATATTATTTTGAATTTATCTTTTCTAATATTGGTGTTTGACTATTTTGTGGTTTGGGTAAATTTGAAGGGAAGAGTAGATGACAATAAGGAGTCAGTGAGGAAGAGGTTTACATATTTTGAAAAGTATACTCTTCCAGTTGTTGAGTACTATCGTTCAAGGGGGAAAGTATATGTGGTAAAACATTCTTCATCAGATGTGTTTTGTTTTATTTATTCCTTTTAAATTTGATTTTATTAAAGTTATTGCTAATATATTCTTAGATTGATGCTTCCAAGCCGAAGGATGAGGTTTTTGAGACATTGAAAACTTATTTAACTCCCTTAGCACCAAGAATCGAGACTGAAGTTGTATCAGAGGCCAAACTGAAGCAGAAGGTGAAGTGCTGGGTGTGGTTGCAGCTGAGGCTGCAAGTGAAGTTGAAGAAGGTGAAGTGGTGGGCGTGGTTGCAGCAGAGACTGTAAGTGAAGTTGAAGTCGAAGTGAAGGCTGTTGGTGAAGGTGAAGGTTTGGAGAAAGACATTTCAAAGTTGGGATTGTAATTATGTAGTGATGTTTTTATTATAAAAAACAAGTTATGGTATTTGTAATTATGATGTAATTTGGAAAGTGGGTATCTATTTGTAGTTTGCTTTATGAATATTTAATGCGTGTTTAACTTAAAATGATTTCTATTTTTGTTTACTTGATGAATTTACAATTGTAGTCTTATACTGAAATTTTATTTTTTGAAATTTTGGATAAATGGTTGCTTGCACCATAATTTGTAAGAAAAAATAATTTGAAATGATCTGGTTTATCAATTCCTGGAAAAATGAATCCAAGCTTAAATTTATAGAATTGGCAAGTTTGAAATAGAGAAGCTGAGTGTTTGTATCATAGAGAGAATCTTATACAAAATTTTAATTTTCTTGAAAATTAATTTATAGTAGCCATTTAAATCTTAATTAGTGGGTTCTTTTAGTCTTGAAGTCACTTTAATTTTTAGCGTTCAATTGAACCTAATTGAATTCAATCGAATAAGCCCTATTTGAAAATTTGAGTTTTAAAAATACAAGAAATGAATTTTTTGACCAAAAATGGAACCGAATCGAAAAAAACGTACGCTACAAGTGACGAATGAAACTTTACAGGCTCAAATTAGTCAAAGTTTAAGGGCCTAAGTATGCATTTTATCTTGGAATAGGTTGGGCTTAGGATTTTGTTCTGTTATGATGGAGGACCTAGTTAAGTTCAATTCATATTTATTTGATTTGGAAAAATAGATTAAAAACTTCGGTAGCTAAGCGACAAAGAGTAATTGCGAGGTTAATCACCATGGCTTAGGTTATGGGTACGATTCTCCATGGACCGTTAAACGGACACGGGCCTGGCTACTTTGTGCAAGTATAAAAAAAAAAAAAAAGATTAAAATTATAATTTGTTTATTTGGGTTCATCAAATTAGGAGGTGAGAAGCAATACAAAATTAGGGGTCATAAACAGTGTCAAAAAAAGTTCAGTAGACATACATTCGCTGTAGCTTTTGGAGGCAAAGGGGCAGGCTAGAGAAAATTTGCGTTGTAGACGATCGAACCCATGACCTAAACCATAATGATTAACAAACCATAATGATTAACTCTACAAACGCTCTTTGCCACTAAAATAACTCCATTCAAATTTTTAACCTATTCATTTAATATTGGATGATGATGTTGATTTACATTTTTTGGTCAATGTTAAATATGTTAAATGGTCTAATACATACATTTGCCCTTGTATGTATTAGAAACCCTACCGCACCTCCAACTTTGCGGGGATCAATTATGCACCTTAAGTCCATTTCTTTGCATCTTTCTTATACCTCTCCACACTGGTAGACCAAAGTGTGGATACAATTGCTGAAAGGAGTGTTAATTGAACTTACAAGACTAACGTGGAAAAACCTTGTCCAGCTTGGCTCTTAGTACGTGGAAAGCTTCCTTTTAGTTCACAATTACTTTCCCTCTTCTCTTCTACCAAAACTAGAGTTTTACTTGTAAAAAAATAACTTGCGATCTTTCTCTCCCCCTGTGTCAATGACTTGAGTGCAAGAAAAATTATTTTGGTTTTCTTCTTAATGAATTTTGGAAGGGAGATATTTTCATTTTCAAATTTGCCATCTTCATATCTTCCATAGCTTTCATTTTACGGATTTCGGTTCTTGAAGATGTTCTTGGAGAGTAAACTCTTTGATGCACTGTTTTTTTCTTTTCCTTTATAATTCTCTACTTGTATATAAAAATTTCCTGTGTTCTTCATCTCTTGACTTGAACTCTCTAATTTTTTTTTTCTTTTCTTTCAATTGCCGCTTAAAGCTAAAATTTTTTGCATAAAATCCAATTTTCATTCTTAACAGTAAAAACACAAACTTTTCAATTTTCCTTCGATAAGGAAAAACCCATCAATAAGGATCTCTTTTTCTGAAGCAATCATTAAAATAAAAATCTACAATAAAGCTACAGAAAAAACCCTATTCAAGAATCTAAAATCCGAAATTAAACAGTGCCTTTGTAGCAATTTTTCTCACGCCACCGTGCCTTCTCTCCAGGATGTGCGCATGGACATTCAGTCAAATCATGTGACCTCCCACATGCGCACTGCCTCAACTTGAACTCATACATGCGGAAATGATTGCACGAGAAACCATCCACAGCAAGTCTAGGTCATCGCTCAACGAATTAGGCTCATTTGATGGAAGGTAACGGTGGAGTTGAGACCTGAGATCGGTGGTGGTGTTGGTTGTGGAAAATAATGCCTAAGTTGTCCTTTCTTTCTTTTACTCAGCATTTTTTTTTTTAAATTGCTGATTTGGAAATTAAAATGGTTCCACTTTGACTTACTTATCCTGCTCGGCAGGTTTGTAATTCACGAGCTTATACTAGATTGAAAAAATGCTTAATTGATGCAAAAAAATTAACTTGAGGTGCACAAATGATCCCCCGGCAAAGTTAAATGGTCCCGGCAAAGTTAAAGGTACCGTATGATTTTTTTTTTTTAAATACAAGGGCAAATGTATGTATTCGTCCTATGTTAAATAGGTTGTATTTGTATGAACTCTAATCTCACCATGGTGTCATCAGACACAATGCAACCGTGGATCCATTTTGACACTCTTTATTTATTTCAAATTAAATTTTCAAGTATAGAGTTAGGCAACAAGAAGGAATAAGAAACTCATCAACAATCATGACAATAATTAGCTAATTAATTTTGTAAATAAGTTTCTTAATTCAACAAAAATAGGACCCATACAAAGCAGTGACAAGAACTGTTGCTATATAATAAAAAAAAAAAATTAATAATAAAAAATATGAAGTGGACAAAGCAATTCCAAAGGATACACTACTTCCTCTCCCCCATCTTTTTCCCACTCGCTTTCTTTCTCTTCAGCTATCAGACAGGTATGGTTGCTCTCTCTTCATCTCCATCAATGGCCTTGACTTTTTCTCTCTCTTTCTTCTGTTGATTTCATGTTCTTCATATGCGTGATGTCTTTAGATCTTCATATTCATAAATTATTTTTATTTTTCTTAATCTTTGTATTCTTGATTTTGACTATGAATTTAAAAGAGAGTTAGCTGGAGAAGCTATTTTTGAGTAGACTTGCATCTGAAGATCTATATATATGCATGGATGAATGCAAGGTAATTTTTTATAAAATATTCACAAGTAATTTTTTTTTTAAATGGGTTGATCAATATGTAGAAATTGAGAAGCTTGTTAATCAAAAGGATTGTGCATTTGATTTGTAGGAGACAAATGAAATTGCACTTGAGAAAAATCCTACATTTGTTTTTGTTTTAGGTTAGCATTTTTTTTGGAATAAGGCTCAGTTTGCCTCGTGAACTTAGGCACAATTTAAGGTCTCAAAAATTAGCTTCTTATATAAATTACTCTTTAAACTTATATCAAAACTAGAAATAGCCCAATTTTTGTCCCAAAAAATAAATTATTTAATATAAATCAAATATGATTAAAAAATAATTATATATTTTTTCCTATTATATGAATATTACATGAATTTTCACTAATTTTGTGTGAATATCAACTCCAAATTTTCCTTACTATGATTTTTTTTTTTTTTCCATCGAGTGTTACCAAGGATTTACAGTATTATTCCATTTTTTTAGAAGACATTTATTTGGTTTCTGAAAAATTAAAAAATTAAAAAAATAATCAATAGTAGTAATACTACTATTAGGTCAAATTTGATGATAATGAAACTTCATTTGGAGCATACAAATAGTAGCAAGTGTTGGCAGTTGCAGTTGATGGATAATAAATAGTAGTATTATTCCATTTTTTTAGAAGACATATTGATGGATTGACATAATAGTTAAATGGAATAAAAATATCGAGACAAAGTAGTATATTTAAAAAAAATATAGGGACAACGTAGTTAATTTTGGTATAATATAGAGATACATTTATAATTTTCTCTTTTCAAAATTGTATTAAATAGGACAAGCACAGTTTACCAAAAGCAGGCACTTACATTTATTTCACACATAGATTGATTCTGCGAAGCCGAAAGAAGAGGTTTTTGAGACACTTAGAAGCTTGTTAATCTCTTCAACAATAATAGGAGAGGTTGAAGCTTGAAGTAGAAGCACTTCCCAATGTTGAAGCTAACTGAGGCAGATTCAGAAGCAATTTCTATTGTTATAGAACAAGCTAATGAAGTTTTGTCTGGATTTGTTGAAGCAAAAACATGAGCTTATAGATATATGTAGCTAATTTTTTGCAACCCAATCCAATTTCTAATTTTAATTACAAATACTTGACATTGAAAAGAGCATTTAAAAAATGAAAAGGATCTAGTACAATACACTTTGCTTTTTTAAGGATTTATGGAAAAAGAATGATTCACAAAGAGCTCCACCAAATTCAACAAGGAAAGAGAGAGAGAGAGAGAGAGAGACCCTTCCTTCGTATCTCACTCCTTTTAGAAAGCATGTAAAATATTTGCTAACCAACTTATTTACTCTACAAACATCATATTATTCATCATTCAGAAAATAAGAACAGAATTAGGAATTGAAATGGCTTAGACAGAAACAAGAAAAAACGGATTTTTGCCTCTGGAAAGAGAAATATTGGACCACACCTGAATATTGTGCCTTTTTTTCTTGGGACTAACATAATAGGGATGAAAGAAAGGGGCAAATGACATATGTAAGCACAACTACAACTATCTCAAAACAGAGTTTCCAATCTAAGGAACTTTAATTTCTTTGATTAGATACACCATTGTTACTCAAATGCAAACAATTCAAAAATTTTCCAAATCCTTTCTTTTTGAGTGCACTTGACATACAGTATCATACAAACAATAAAAACAACTAAAAATAGATATAACATAACAGACCCCCTACTCAAAAATGGGGGGGCCCCCCCCCTTTGATTAGATACACCATTGTTACTCAAATGCAAACAATTCAAAAATTTTCCAAATCCTTTCTTTTTGAGTGCACTTGACATACAGTATCATACAAACAATAAAAACAACTAAAAATAGATATAACATAACAGACCCCCCAATTAACTTCTGGTGGCAAAGGAAACCCACTAGAACCAAATAAAAAAATTTTAAATTGTAGACTTACATGCTCAAAACATCATTTTCCTTAGCTTTTCACATTTTT